ATTAATCTAGATCAACGTATTTAAGCAGATACTTATTTTTATGTCTGCATGATGTCAATTCATGTTTAATAAGCTATGGTTATTTAAGTGTTTTAAGATAATTTTTCAGTAAGACATAAATTACATCTATTTCCTTTCCCATTGTAAAATTTGGCTCTTGCTATAATATCTCAGGTGATAAAAGGTGTATTACCATGAGTCTTTAATTGCCAGAAATATTTAGAGAAGAGTGCTGTTTTTGTATTTTATACTGCCTAACATCATTGATAATGGTAGAAATGAAATTTCCAAGGATTTTCAGTGGAACCAAAATAATTATATAGTCATGTAAATTACCATGAGTGGAGAATATTTTTATGAAGTTTTAATATTCTGATATCTAAAATGTTTTAACCATTACCCCACCTAATTCTTTCTAGAATTATTCCCTTTGCTACAGCATTTTTTTGAGGGTGCAAAAAACATGAGTAGCTACTGTTTTAAAATTGTAAAAAACTTTCTTTGTATTGTGTACATAGATTTTATTTTTTGCAAAGTAATAAAAGAATGTATGAATAATATTTTTATGTAATGCATTAGGTTTTTACATACATGTTTTGACATCGAAAACAAAAAAAAAATATGAAACACAAAATAAAAAACAAATACATTAGCAAATTAACATACTTTAACTTATTACTCCTTGTGGTGCTCTGGTGTGCAATAAAAAGCAAAATGACTAAGGCAGCTTTCATTTTGTCAAAAGTGACGTCCTTCCATGTGTTTACATACTAGTAGACACCAGTATTTGTTTTCTCTTTCTTTCACCTGACTAGCATATTTATTTGTCTCATTGACAAATAAAGTTATTATTTCATCATTTATAAATAGACAAAATAATTCACCTTCAGAAAGGCTATCAGGTACATCCATGGAACCAGTAGCTTCCATAAAATTAGTCAGCCATGGATGATAGTAGCCGCTTGGCACCTAGTAGTCATCATAGCTTTCCTCCCTGTCACTAGCTTCGTTATCACCTCTATCTCTGACCACTTCACTGTCAATATCTGCTTGAATAAAGCCTTCAAAATCATCATCGGAGTCTGAATGAAAGAAAAAATCCTGAATAAAGGCTTCATTGGATGTTGATGCAGCCATTTTTGTTTACAAAAAATTGTGACAAAATTAACGTGGGTTTAATCGATGTTACACCTTGCGTAGAAGAATTCAAAATGGCATTGAAAAATGGAAGCTTAGCCTCATTCCAAAGCGTTAGTAGGCTATTTCCAGCTTAAAATATCAGAAATAACAGTTGATAAGTGTTTATTTATAGCAACCCTCTCAAGGTAACAGAATGAACCTAGAGTTGCAAAAGGAGAGAATTCTATGGCAACAATTTTTGCCTCCAGCTCGATAAAGGTTAAGTATCATGAGTATAGATTTTGTTTCACAATTCCATTACACAATTATTTTTTACTATTTCATGTGTTTTATAAAGTTTCAAGAAGTTTCTCAAAGCTTTGTTAGCTTCTTTTTAGCATAACTCCTTTTTCCATCATCTTTATCTATTTCTAAATGGAGAGATAAGGAATAATGACCAAAAACAAAAAAAGTGTAGTTTAATCAAATTGTTTTCCTTTCTTTACAGATTTATTTAGGAGTAAAGGTATCTCTAATCCAACAAGGAAGAAACAAGTCTTTGGATGAAACTAGCACCACCACCAGAGGTAAACACTGAAACAGGGGTCTGTTCCCTAATTAACAATTGCTCATAACCATTTAAGGATCTTAAATAGTCCTGAAAATATCAGGATTCACACAGATCGGTGTAAAAAAAAAAAAAAATTCAAGGATGATGTTAGGAAGCTCCAAGGACTGGAACTGACGTATGTGCAAAAACACATACAAAGTAAATAGTCATCAATTTCAAAAACACAAACTGTGATTTATCTTTTAATAGTTTGACAGATCAGATGTTCAAAGAAAAGCTACAGCTGGTTTCAATAATTGTCATAAATCAGTTGAAAGCAGTGAAGCAATACAAGTGTTGAAAGCTAAAACACAACTGAATGCAGACCTGGTAATGTTACACATTTTGTATAGCATTCTACAGAGTTTTACTACACCTGAAAATTTTGAATTTGCAAACTTTAATTCTTACTGCAACATATTTCAGCTATCTCAACTACTCTGGTTTTTGAATATCACAAAAATTCTTGATTACTACATTTCCTGTGAAGTTATGTATAGTGGTTTTAATAAACAGAACTACAAATAGCAATTTTTACAAAAGACTACACATTTTAGCTACCCCTACTACATATGGCTTTTGTTGCACATGGCACAGAACATGTTAAAATTTTTTTAGTTCATCTAGTTGAGCACTCAGCTCCTCATCCAATTTTGATATTTCTATGAACTTCTCTATAGATCTTTTGGTCTGCTCAGCTTTATTAGCATAGCTGTCAGCTGACTTGAGCAATTCTTGTGTGCAACTTTCAAGCTTGTGTTTGTTGGTCTTCAGGTCTTCAAATTTCCATAAATAAGGATTTCCATTTTTGTCCAGCTGCTTCTTTAATGGTTTATCACTATGTCATTTTATCAGAAACGGTTCACAATGTCTTTCAAAACAGACACAAAAATCTGCAGTTTCACTGGAAATAAAACACCATTCATCTTTGACATGCCACAGAGAAGGACTTGACCAGGGGACATTTAAAAAATTTGATGACATTTGCCCAAATGTCTAGGAGTCATTTTCTAGATCTGTACATTTTCTAGCCATGTATGGTAGAAATACAAAAGTAAAAGAGACAGGGTTGCCAAATTGAACTTTTAAAGCCGAGCAATAAAAAACAAATTTTAATATATTTCATCATTTTTTCACATAGCAAAAGCAAGAGATACAGGCCCGCAAACATTAAAAATGACATTCTTCTTATTTTTTTTCAAAGATGCATTTTCTTTCCTATCCTAAGACACATAAAAGGCACATTTTCTATTCTATCATTCTTCCTGTCTACATTTTCTCTGAGTCAAATTTGATTACTTTTGGTAACAATTTAGACAATGTAGTTTACACATTGACACAGAATGTGTAAAGTATCTATCTTTTTAGCATGAACTTACCCACCGCTCACTAGAGATCAAAAGGACCTTTTACTTTTGAAATTGACATGTCAATAAAATTTCTTCAATTGTTCAAAATTTAAAAAGCACTCAAATTTTCTGAGATTCTACTAAAATGTATTTTATTACTGTAAAATAATTTATCATTTTCCTTTTAACTACAAATTCAATGAGTGTGAATTAATTTATCTTTGATAGAGATGTTTGTCTCTGACACCTTTTATCTTTGCTTTTCCTCTTTTCTTGTCAAGTGAGGGTAGCAGCTAGAAGATATGCTTACATATTCTTTCTTGTCACCTAACGAAAAAATACTCAAGTAACTATGAGGTCATGAACTCATTCTAATAAAGCAAACAAACCACTGTTTGCAATAATTGCCAAATATTATTGATGATGAAAAAAACATATTTCTTAAAGGACAATTTTAGCTTGTAAAAAAAGCCATTTCTGGGATTTGGCATTATGATTTTCATGAATTGAGAAAAAAGATTTATGAGCAGTCCAATTTAGAAAATTCCAGGATTTTTCAAGGAGCTTTTGGGTTATTGCTGTTTTTTTTAGGACTTTTCAAACTCTGCATCTTGTTCCATATAAGTTAGTTGAACGATCAGTATATTAAATAGGATATCTTTTCAGATCCTCTATGAAAGAATGAAATTTTGTGTTAAGAGAATTATTGCAAATATAATCCATAAACCAAGATAACAGGACATTTTCTAATGAATCCTTTCTTTACACTGCTTGTTCATGGTTCTCATGAAAATATTTATGGGCCCAATGAAACATTCACAGACAATGCATGTTTTATCAGTAGAATATCCATACAAGTATCTTTCTTTAAATCAGTAACCAAAATTTTAGATCAGTGGTTCACAACTGATTCTGGGCCATGCCACACTTTGGTATTTCTAAAATTCTGGTGCCTCCCTGTAATATTTAATTCTTACATGTATGCCAATTACACATGTGTGTACTTACACACAAAATATTTTTATGTATACATACTGTATATGCATTGTATGTATTAACATGCATTGTATGTATTAACATGCATTAACATTAACACTCCCACTCAGACACACTAGAAAACAATTCATTGTTAATAACTCATCTTTGAATTGCCCCCTTATTCTGTTGGTATAGTAAGCTGAAGGGTTCACATCCTATGCATGCCTCATCAAAATATTACCATGACCCACGTTGGGAATCATTGCTTTAGATGATACAGTTCTAATTCAGTCACTTAAAAAAGTGTTTTTTTCTTTTGGCAATTGAGTAAGGTCACACCAAATTCCAGCAATCCATTATAATTTGCAAATCTTCCTAAAGCTTGCATCATCAGTATACAGTAAATCTTGAATCAGGCACTCAAAGTTCTTAAATTTCCAGGTTTCCAATTCTCATATCTATCTTTATATCAACAAGTTGATGAAAATGTTGCGTGAATAACTTGTAGTACCTCAGACTGTTCCATAACTATACTTTGCTACCAATATCAAATATATTTTTTGCATATCAGCAAATCCAATATGGCTGCTACTTTTATAACCACCTGGTGTTCATACTGGAATCACTATATCCTAAATAATTTATATGGTAACATTAATATTTATAGTCATAATTAGAAGGCTAACTAGGACAACTGATAATTTTTTTAAAAATTGAAATATTTATGGTCAAGTGTTAACATTGCAAATAAAATGTACTTAGTAATTTAAAGAAAAGCTCTGTAAGAAATGACACCATTTTTTTTAAAGTAATATACAGGAAAACGTTTCCTTGACTTTTTCTGAAAGTAAAAATTCTTCAGAACTATTTAAATAGATTTATCTTGTTCTCATCTTACCTACTGAGATTATAGCTTGAAGTATATGTAGGTATAATGTACTCACCTGTCTGTACCTGCTTGTAGATTTGCATGATCCAACAACTGCATTTCAAAATCAGGTAAACTGTCAACTGGTACTGATGACTGTGCAGAAGTTGGCTGAGTATAAGCAGGAGGTGGAGGTGGTGCTGTTGCTCCTGACATAGCTTGTGCTGATGGGTAATTAGAGTTATAAGTTGGGCTAACTTGACTTGTGGCAGCTTGCTGCTGTGTTGGAGGGGGACGTAATCCAGAGTTAGGTGAAACAGCATGTGGGGACATTAACATGGTATCAGGACTATTACTGAATGGACTGTGAGGTGTTCGAGGTGAACCACGACCTGAAAGCACAAACAAAATACAATTGAAAAGAAATTTAAAGAACTAATGGTAGTCAAAAATAATTTCTTTTGGCTTAAATTTTGACAATTGTGATTACTATAGTCATCATGTAAAAATACTAATTTGAAAGAATTAATAGAAAAAAAGTAAATTCTAATTTTCTGTTTGCCAGTTTTTAAGTTTATATCTTGATAGAAGTTTTAAAATATTCAACATATAAAAATAATAAAATCTATTGCACTTATATCTCAAAAAATTTGTTACGAAATACAGGGAACTCAATGTTTACTAAATGGTGTATTTTCAGATGAACACAACAATTTTTGTTTTAGAAAAAAAAACAAGACCTTGATGATGACATTATGCTAATCTCAAAAGTACTTGGAATAAAATAAATATGCATCAACATGGTAATTTTCTTTCTTCCTTCAATAAGTCTACTAAGAAACTTGTTTGTAATTAAAGAGAATCCTATTAAAAATAAATAGACAAAACTTGTCTAAATTATTTAATGAGACATATCTTAATGAAAACATGCAGGCAACATATACGCAATATATATATATATATATATATATACGACAAAGTGGAAACATTTTCATGTGATGCATTTAGGACTTCATCAGACTAAGTTTATGTTTACATTAATGCAATTATACGTGAATGAATGTGAGACGCTGGGAATTTTAAATTAAAATTTATTTTTTTTGTTTTGAATATATAATATAGCCAATTTCATGTAGATTCTTTTTGCTTGTTTCTATCACTTTTATTAAATAAACTACATAAGAACATGGACACAAATTTACTGCAGATGATTTAGCAATTAATACACTTTCTAAATATTTTCATCTTAGTAAATTGTTTTCTCTTTCAATAAGAATAGCATTTTTCAAATAAAAATCATGACCAGTTTCATTACAGTGAGTAACTAATGCATTTAATGTGTTGCTTTGTAAAAGTTCCCTTTAGTTTTCATATAATGTTTTTTATTTAAATTCCTTCAGGTTTCACTGGTTTATTAGTTAATACAAGTAATAGAGTAAATTTCTCCTTCAAATTTTAACTTATCAGTTACTCACCATAACGGGATGGACCACAATTTTGATTTAAAGAATGCTACTGAAACATCAAAATAAAAGCTTCATCCACAGAAGGTTTTGCGAGATCTGGTGGAACATAAATATTATCCACTATAAGTTATAGAATATGGAAAAATCATTACTGCATAATTTTATTGCCAACAACTATCATGCCAAGGGTGCATAACCAAGTTTGAAAAGTTACCTCACACTCCATATTCAGCAGACATATAAATTTTAGGTTATCAACATCACTAGTCATAGGTCACTCAGCATTTTTATTTTTCATTGTCTGAGTAAGCAAGTTAAGAGTGTGGTATCAAGAAGGAACTAATGTATCCTTAGCAGATCTCAGAGTAGCCAACTTTCAGATGTGAACACACAAATCACAATAGCCATACCATATGATGATCGATGAGAAGCAATATTGCCTAACAAAACTGCATGTTGGTCTGAATGTAGCAGTGCAAATAATCAAGTACAGTCACTGACATTGTGATATATTAGGAGGAAGCAGTCAGAAAAGCAATGTCATGTTTTTAATATACACCAAGACACTGCCCCTGGGTTGTATCTACTGTGAAAGATTAAGAAGAAAGTGTTCCTACCTGACTGATCTTTCAGTAGTGAGGTATTGTGTAGTGACCTACTTTGTAAAAAAAAAAAAAAGAAAAAAAAAGTGCCATATTGGCAAAAGTAGGAATGCAGATGAAGACAATTAGCATGTTGACTAGATAGATATACAAATCACTTTACCTAATTGCTAATATTGAATAAGCAGATTAGGTTTTTCATCTGGGTACTGTACAGTTACTTCAGTTATTCAGAGAGTGAGGATTCTAAGAGGAAAAACCTTATTTCTCGAGGAAAATGCTAACTGAGAGAAAAGGTGGTCATCAATATACCAACTAGACCAGTCCTATATTAATACCCATGTACTCAATCAGGCAAATATAAATTAGCGGAGTATCCTAACAAAAGTTGGTATATTCCATTAAGTAGCAGCAACTCTCAGAATACTAACAACATTCACGATACCTGCATTTTGTATACCGTTTCTCATTTCAAACTCAGTGACTTCAAACCCACTAATTTCAGTAAAAATTGTATGCAAATAAGGTTCTAGCTTTCCTCTTTCACAATGCATTATTTAACTGCACAAGCATCTAACAAAACTCAACCAGTACAAGTTGTAATGTAACTGCCATGAGCAGCACAATGACCTGGATTTTGAGGCTGTTGGAAAAAGTTTCCATCATATTCTTCACCATTCACCAATGCCTAAGATGCAGTACACATGCTATTTATAGCTTTTTTGAATGTATGAAGGACTAGTTTTCCAATACTACCAAAAAAGCATGGGCAACTACTTTAACTTTGTACTCTAAGAAAAACCACATCTCTGGGAAAGGTCATTCTCTTTTCAATGGCATATAAAACTAAGCCAATATACCAATAGGAAAACAGCACCAAGCATTAGAGATAGTAAAGAACCCAAATGGTGTTTATTTTGTGATGCAGCCTCCAATTTACATTGATTTTGTGATGTTCTTAATGAGTATTCTTGTAATTCTTCAATGAATTTGCCTTTTAATGCTTACAATAATATCTATTAATCCAGATATATCACTAACCTGTCAAAACTTGAATTAAATATTTCTTTTTCTAAAGTTGAAGTTTCAAACAAACCTATGAACCAAATAAATGAATGTATTAAGTGAATATTTATTTTTAAAGCACTGGGTGAATTTTTTTATATTTTAAGATATATTTTAAAACTCTTAAGTGAAAATTGAGGTTGTTTAAGAACTTTTTTTTATCGTAAATTCTACCAAATTTGATCAGAATTTTTTTTAAAAATAAAATATTTTTTGTTCCTGAATGCTTTTGGGATCTGGATTATTCTCTTTTAAATTGGCGAGGTGCATCCACACACCACCACAACACACTCAATGTATTGAAGGGAAATAGGTCCATCTTAATATGGTTTATCAACAAAACCAATAAGGAATAATTGATTTGCTTGCATCTAAGGCCTGCACAGAAATATTGCTGAAGAGCACAACACTGTTGCTAGATGAAGACTGCTATTGGGTAGTAAGAACACATTCAATACAGCAAGTGATAGTTAAGTCTACAATCACACCAGAGCCATGTTTATATCAACTCAAATTAAAACCAGTTTTTATATGGCCTGTCAGGACTCCTGTACAACCAGAGCTGAAGACATTTTTGAAAAAAGACACGATTACAGAACCATCACCACCATAGGTTTATTTTTAGTCCCGACTATCTGCCACAGAAATATGTAGCATTCTGTATGGATTGGTATGGTGTCAAGAACTAAACTCATTGCACTTTTATACATTTTATCAATTTGTGGGGCATTTCCATGCTTTTACCATGCTTTCATTCCTGCATTTCTTTTCTTTGAACAGTTCTGTCGCATTCTAGGAAAAGCAAAGTAATGTTTAACGTTTATTTACAAATTAAACTGAGGGTAGTTGTATATTCAATATGTGTTCCAAATTTAAATCAAATTTATGCATTAGGTCATATGGCATTCCCATGGAAAAATAAATTTAAAGCTGGCCTCTGTCCTCAATATGATGGCATGGTCAGCTAAAATGAGCACTGTCTAAAATTATGCCATGACAATTTGTTTATTTATTGATTTTCAGTTTGGTGTCCATAAATTATATTAGCAGAAGCACTGGTTAAGATCAATGTATAGTACCTGTTCTCTTCATTAATCAATGGTGAAAGCTCTTGGGGATTCCAACCTTGTGGTAGCATCTTCCTCATTACATTAAATGAGGTAGTGTTGGTGTAGTATTGATGCCAGCATGACAGTGATCACAGGGACTGGACAATGTATGTGAACCAACATTATAAAAAAAAAAAAAATCTTGTCTCAGATCCTACCATTGCAAGGAAGAATGACCACAATTAGCATGCATTTATTACAGCAGGTGGTGGAAATAACCAACAAATATTCAGCAGCATCTCTCTTCTGCCCACTCAAATGACTCTGCTATAAACTAAACACAAGACAATTCTTCAGTTCATCTCATGGTACAATTTGCATTATTTCAAAGTTTGTGTCTGAAATTTACAACAGTCAGGTATTTTTGTTGTGATTGAAGTTTTGATTGTAGTAGTTTGAGGCTCATGTTTGTGGTGGTTTGTGCAAAGTTCTAGAACAAGCTATTTTGTCATTTGTCCCAATGACAAACAAATTCAATTTCTCTAGCCTAAAGGGAGCATTGAACACTGCTTTTGCCATGGATTCCTTTGTGGCATATAAACAGTTTGCAGTGAACTACTTGCAACCTGGGGAGTCCATAGATGTCTATCTAGCAGAGCTAAAGAAGTATGACTGGGCAATACATCTTTGTAGCTGGGTTTCCAGATGACATCAAGCAACTCCTTAGAGACTCTTCTCGATGGTTGCCACAAGCCAGAACAATGTTAAAAGATGCCTCTTTAGGAGTAGAACCCACAGTAGTGGCTGTGTGACCAGTGTGTGATATGGAGAGACCAGAAAAGAACAGTGAAATGAGATGCCATGCATGCTGTTGTGATGAGATAACCCAACTTCTCCATTCACAATAATGGACGGACTGGTTGCCGATTAAGTACGACCACAGCGGACAGTGAAAAGGTCTTCGTTTGTTAACACCTATTGAGGTTAGCATACTCCTGACTCTGTCTCTGTATTTTGACATACCTACATCCGATTATAAAATTATTATTGAAAACCAACACTCGGGTTTACTTTGTTTATTATATCTTGCACGAGATATAACACATGCAATGAGCCCAAACACATGGCAAAATTCTGTCTCACATGGCAAGAGAAACAAAGATCAAAAGCAAAGGTTTCATGGGAATGTCATGCACTACTTTTGGTGTTAGGAGCCAGACTATCTGTCACAGGATTGCCTCGGGAAAAAGGCTCAAGAGATAAGAACACAGTGCAGGTCTCCTAAAATGTCAAGATGTAAATTTAATGTTACTCACAGTCGAAGCTTTTGCGTATGGGGGAAAAAAGGTTGCTCTTGCACTATTGTCAGTAGAAAGCTGTGCCCAATGTTGAAAAAAAAAGTGTAGCTACAGTAATGATCAGTGGTGAAGCGAATAAACAGAGTTGGAGCTATTGACCTTAGAGTAGGTGATGAACAGACACTTTTTCATAAATGCTTTGGTGGTACATGGAAAACCTCTGGGTTTGATTTAGGAGTCTACACTGACACAAAGCATTCAGTGGGATGCCCATTTCGCTATAGTGTGAGGTATGGTTCCTCAGGAAAAAATTGCCCAAATATGTAGCATGCATGTGGAGTTAAGAGTTATTCAGAGTAGGTGATGGAGAGGCCATTTTGATATGCAGTTTTGTGGTAGATGTCACATTGGTCAATTTGAGCCAAAACAAAGCAGACAGAATCACTAAAATTCCACAGAGGTGGCTTGAAGCAATGAAGAACAAAGCTGAACTCATACTGCAGATTTATGCTGCTACCAAAGATGAAAGTGAGGCTAGCCAAATACACTTGCACAGTATGCAGAGACCATGTACTTTGTCAGAAGAGTTTTTCCCTCCACCTCTGAAAAGGCTGTTAGATTAGTGCTGGATTTTTCACTGTCAATTTGTTGGCAGAAAGGAAAACTGTAACACTATTTAGCTATGGTAATTGATTAACTAATTAACCATAAAAATTAAACAAGAAATACTGAGAACAGAAAGAAGATATCCTGAAAGATATATTGTTTGATATTAAAAAGATTTTATTTTATTTCCCAAAAAGTTACTTTTCTCAAGAACCCAAGAATTTGCGTAAACAGTGGAATAACAAAAAAGCCATATGGCAAGCTTTTGATAATTGATTAATGATGTTTGCAAAAGTACTGGTTGAGAAAAACATGTGAATCAGAAAGAGTATAAGATATCATTCGAAGTTGCGAGATTTTAGAAGTTGGATAGGCCATATGTTGATTGTAAGAATTTTTTGGCATAGGAAGATGTTCCGAGATATGCGTTCAATATGGGAAGAATGGCATAAACGATAAATTCACAAAAAGCCATGTGGCGAGCTTTTGACAATTGATTTATGATAATTGTAAAGAAAACACGAAATAGCCAAAGAGCATCTGAAATATCATTTGAAATCACCAGATTTTAGAAGTTGGCCAAGCCATGGGGGCCATGTGTTGTTTGTAAATCAAAAAAAGGGAATTTCATAAACAATGTTGATTATTCAGGATTTCTGAATTCCCAAATTAACAGGAATGTCAAAGGGTTAATTAATGAAGCAATCTTATCCATACTCACATGACCAAGACGCCATTGATCGAGTGGTAGCAATGATGATAGGCAGAGGTAAATTGGTAAGAAAGACATAGAAATTACTACCCCCCTCATTTGGTATGAGGTACAAATGTGAGAAGGAGGGAGTTTAGGAGGATAGCTATCCTGCAACTTCTCACAGACGAAGCCCCCACACTTCAAATGGAAAGTAATTTTACAAAATGGGAAGAAATCAATTTTCCTAACCAGACAACAAAGAGATCCCTTGTCAGAAATCAGGAATTACCAAGAACCCCAGGCTGCGTCTAGCCCCACACTAGTTTTTGGTCGATGTCCATATAAATGAGTGCCCTCGGTTTGCCAGTGAGGTGAGTTCGAATTGGAGTCAGTTCATTAGCAGGAACTAGAGAATTGCCTCACAGAAGCTGACCGAGAGATTCCACAACTTCCTATCTTCGACTACGCCGTCCTACGAAACAGCAAGTTATACTGACAAACGAAGCTAAGCCAGTACCTAAAAACTAAACCAGTTGACTTATAAAACCAGGACTTGCCTAGAGTATAAAGTGTCACTCTCCAAGAAACAGGTTGGGAAAAACACATACTTCTGTATAGAACAGACTGATAAAAGTTGATTTGCTTTCTTCAACATAACCGAATCTTTTTGTTTTTTATTTATTTCTTTTTTAAACTTGTGTGATGTCACATCCAGTTTAAACACATTGTGCACTATGGCCCCGATGCCCGATTGATCTTGTCTACCTAAGATCAAATCACAACATGGGTAGGTTAGACTTGAGATTGAAGCAGTTACTTTGGTAACTAGCCATTGGAAGTAAGCTGAGAACAACTGAGCTGGTGTCAGATTGGTTGCATCTGATGTGAAGCTACTAGAATCAACCAACCATCCTATTTGGTATCCTGACCAAAGGATCCCACCAGGTAGCGACGACCGCTGATTGACTGGGTCACATGTTGGTGGCAGTGACTAAAAGTCAACCCCGTAACGCTGGTAGGAGAAGTATCACACCTTCACGCCGCGACTAGGAGTTGACCACGGGCCGACAGTATAGTGTAACAAAACTGGAGGTGTCTGATATATGGGGTAAACTTGGGATGGACATAAATAACTAAGGTGGCACCCACTACTTGACCTTGATAGACTGTGAGCTCATGTGATTTGCTATTTGGTGAGCATTACACTAACAAGATTCTGTGAATGTGATGTGGCAGCTCAAGGTTGTATTCCTGGAGAGGGGAGCTTCTGATGAAATTAAAAGCTTCACAACTTTTACTGATGAATAGGGAGTCTGCTTTTTTAACTTTTACTGATGAATAGGGAGCCTGCTTTGCTTTTGATGCACATATATGTCATCTGGAAATAGCATTGTCGAATGTTTCCACAGAGGTATAAAGCAAATTGCTGCTAGAAAACAGTGTTCTCTCCGGGAGGCCATATACTGGTATCATGTGACAGCCAGAGATGGTGTCCACAGTACAACTGCGCCTGCTAATGTGCCTTAATTGTACATGGATTGAGTGAAGAGTATTGGCAAAACATTACCACCAAAACTTGAGCTGGAGCATGAACCTACAAGAAAGGGGATGCTGTGCTAGTGATAAATTCACCAAACAGGTATATGATATAAAACAGGAAAGGTTATTGGAGTCAAGTCCCCAAGTAGTCTGAGTTGATGGGGTGCCATACCATGTGAAAGACCTCTGCACCCTTTCTTACTTGAATGAATTATTGGTTAAGAAAGGAACTGTGTCACCAAGTGAAGATGAAGTTTGTCTGCCCTTAGTGGATCATGTTAATGATTATGACCATTCAGGCAATGACAACGATTATTATGGCCACTCAGGCAATGATGATCATTGTGCTAACCATTCAGGCAACAATAGTATTATAGTAGCAATACAAGTATTTTTTTTTTTAAAACAAAATAAATTTTGACAAATTAATTTCTTTATAATTTATACAAAGTATTTTTTAAAATGCCTTGTATAATATTTTCATGTCAGCTAAAAGTAAAATTACAATTACATTTTGAAGCCTTATATAATAGAAAAGACCCTGTCTGTTTATGACAATTTATGATGTTACTGGATATAATAGTTAAATTTATCTACAAGCAAATAAATTCATTATATTTATAAATGTTTATTTATATTCTATATTCAAACGGTAAAATGGTATAAATTGAATTTTTGTAAACTTTAATTGCCATTGTTATAATATAATCAAACAAGTTTCAACTATAACAATATTTGGAATTAAATTACAATAACTTCCAAAACTTTTAATAAAGGCTTCATTTGTCAGTAAAGCTTATTACTTTTATTCTGCAGCAATACCATTAAAGAAAAGGCACTTTTCTTTCAGTTGAAATATATTTTGTGCACGTTTGTGATATTTTTAAAGCAGAGACTTTGGTAGTGATGTTATTTTTAGCTGAAATAACAAACTTTCATTACACCATGACTATAAATCAGATTTTATTTTAAAAAATTAGGTCATAATTTTGACTAAATAGGTAATTTTTTGTGTGATACATGCTTAGGCGATCAGGTATTTTTCGATACATTACTGATGAGGCAGATATTTTCCCACAGTAGGTTGCCATTTCTTTCTGCAGTAGACCAGTTGCCATCCAAGGCTATAGAACCCAGTCTGGACTGCTATTTACCCATAGCTTGGGGGGGGGAGAGAAGAAAAGGATTCATACCTTTCCCAAGGCTATTAACATGGAAATGAAAGTATTCAATGGAAATTCAAACTCGGCTCTCCAATTCCTCAGTCCAAGCCACTATCCATTACTCCTAATTAACATTAAGCAGTGAAAAAACTCATGAAAACTAATTAAGTGTTGAGGAGGGTAAGGAAACAAAGAACAGATTAAGAATAATAAGCCATAAAATGAGTTTGGAGGAAGATTCAATCCTAAAATAAATCAAGTAGAATTTATTTAATAAGACTAGATCTTCCCCAATCTACCCAGTTGTACCCAGGAAAATATATCAAAGATTTATGGTTTTCTAAAATTTCTCAAATTCAATTCTAGCTATATCCTACAAAATACTATTAGCCCCACAAATGTTTGTATTGCTACCAAAATTCAGCTCAGGGGTTTGTCATGACTGCATTTCAAAACCAGATGTGCGCAAACTTCCTTATATAAACCAGACAGGTGAAATTGGTTTTCAGCAGAGATGAAGAAGTTATCATGGTTGTGAGAATTTCACACATGAAATCTCTGCGAAATCACAACCATTGGGTAGAATCCCCATAAAATCTGGTTACCTCACAGTTCGCTGATGCCATCATGTAACAATGCAAAGAATACTGTGTTTTTCGTAGCGCCAGCACAAGGAATGGCAGAATGATGAAACAAGTGCAGTGCCAGTGTGAATTATAAGCTATAATTAAATAATAAATAAAAAGAGAATTTCAAATGAAAAAGGTAAAATGAAAAAAACTGATTTAATACCTGGAGGCAAGCTCAGTTGTCTGTGAATTATTCTATTTTGAGCATACATCTGTTGTTGTTGCTGCTGCTGTTGTTGCTGCTGCTGCTGCTGTTGGGACTGGGAAGTATACACTGACATTTGAGGCTGAGAAGCAGGGAACTGAGAATCAGGAGGAAAATGAAAGTGGTTTCCAGCTTGTTGCATTGGACTAGATAATGAATTACCAGATATTGACCTGTGACGAGGAACTGCTGCAAACTGTGCACTGCCCTGGAAAAAACAATGAAAAAGGAAGAAACTATCTAAAATAATCAAAAAACACAATTATTGTAATTTGAAAATCAAATCGCAGTGAAAAGAATAGACACAAATTGTTCATTAAATTAATCCACTAAGCAAGAATATTAGATAAATTTGTAATTTATTTGAAAAGAATTAAATCCGGATAGGCTTATACATGGTATTATAAAAATCACATTAGATTATTTCTCTACTTGCCAATCACAAAACAGAAATTGAAAATCTCTAGTCATAAAATATTAACCATCTCAATCAAAGCAAAAAATGTTATTTTGTGTGTCTGAGGAGATAAACATTTTATAGTTTAAAAATATCCCTATTCTCAATGCTAATAATACTTCAGCTTTCTTAAATGTGAAGTACTTGTTATATGTTATTGTTTAGAAATATTCTATGCAGATTAACATTAAGAAAAGAATGTGCCTGATATTGACACAGGTAGAGAAAATTGTGTGTGCATGTGTGTTCCCCAACACTTGTTAAACTTTTATTCAGAAAAAAAAAGTTTGTAAACTTAAAAATTATGGAAAATCTTACTGGATGCATTCCTCTTTCTAGAGAGCCCTGAAGTGCTGTAGCTGTTTGTGAAGTACGTGCATTCCACTGGGTTGAGGTGGACTGAGTATAGTGAGGTGACAGTTGGGATGGAGAAGATACTGGGCCAATCATTGGACTGACTGACTGTTGAGGTCGTTGCATACCACTGTAACGTGGTGACATTGGTTCAGGGAGACTCTGGTTTCGCTTAAATAAAAATTTTGTTAATGAAAAAAAAAATAAAATGCTAAATACTTTCTCTATCAAAAATGAAAAATTAGATATGAAGAAAAATTTATTTTATAAAATATTTGAAGAAGAAAAAAAATGCTAATACACACCTAACATCTAGTTATAGTATATAATATATAACAAAAACTGTAATATTTTGTAAATATTAACAACAGCGGTACCCTTCAAATACAGAAGTACATATATTATTCAAGTTATTTTACTTTTTAAAATACAATAGAAAGTATTCTGTCTTTGTGTTAAATCTTCATTAGACACTTCAAAATAACACGAAACTAAACTTGGTTCAATCATAATAAATGAAAGCTATATTATAAACACATAGCTTTTGAGCATAATGATAAAAATCAGAGTCTATAAACTAAAAATCTGTCTAAAAACTCATCAGTATGTCTGCATAGAGCATTCTTCTTCTTCAACTTCCCTAGAACTTAAAGACATAAGCAACAATTTAGAATGTTATTTACTTATTTACATAAGGACTGATGTTGTTATCACATATTATTTCTATGCTAGGCCTACTACTAAATACAATATAGGAGCCATTAATAAATAAAGCGAAGTAACAGCAAGGCTTCAAAAGCAACAGTAAAAAGTGAACACTCAGTGAGTACAGTCAAGTATGATATGTAGCAGCATTCATCAGCAGGAAAGTTAAATTTAAGGCTCCAAGTTCTCCACCCAAAACTGTCCCAGAGGACAATAACCTAGTGGATTAAAGTGTTGTTTCATGAATTTGATGACATATTAATTGCCAGATCAATCAGTGCATATTTGCACCCAGTGAAAATGGGGCAAGCAATAACTGAGCAGTATTAAATAAGAACTGCACAAGATAAGCAGAACCAGAACAATCTACCCCTGTAGATTAAATAAAGGATTTAATTCAAAATTCCCTTTAGAGTACCTGGATCAACAAGCATGCTGAAGGCCAGAGGGCACAATGGCTGAAACATTGTGATAACAGCAACAAAGTTGGGGACAATAGTCTGCATGTAAATAATGATAGCCCATCTCAAAAATTTACAATATATTTTATACATTTTAAGCAATATGTATAATTCAGTTACAACAATATATACTAACAACTTGTATAATTTTTAATATAAATGAAAGAAATCCCATTTTTGCAGTCAGTAGGTAGAAAATATATTTTCAATGAACATAAGTGCTTCTGCAGAGAACTCAAGTGGAAAACTTTTCAAAATGAATATGAAATACAAAAAATCCATTTACATTAATCTTTTGAGCATAATGATAAAAATCCTGCCAAAATTAAAGCATGGATAAAATATGAAATATTAATATGGTTATCAATTTTACAATTTTTGGAGTGCCTACACAAATATATGCCTATCTTAAAAAATTATAATATAACTTAATTAAATTTGCAATTGAAATAGTAAAAGTCCAAAAAATAAGTCTCAAAGTTAAATTGTGTTTTTTTTTTTAAATTTGTCTGGAAGAGATACTATTTGACTGAAATTAAGGGTTACAGCAGCAATATGCATTTCTGAGTCATCTAGCTACCCATTAAAATGTACATAATGAAAAGTTAGATAAGATAGCTTGTAAGACCAATTTGCCAAATGAGAATGGCATGTTCCTACTGATAGAGAGAAAAAAAATCATCAAATGAGAGCAGAATGAAGAATGGGTCAACATGCGTAGCATTTGTTACAGAGGATGCCTTTGAGAATGTGTGCTTATCAGCAAGACATTGCTCACCTGCAAAGTTACATTAGGTGCATTGCCACTTTTCATCAACTCAGCCAAGTTTTCAGGAAATGGTTGTACCGTGCTGGAATCCATTCTGGTCTGTAGGGAGAGGGAGGATAGAGGGTAAAGATTATCCATTAGTAGGATACATATGACTGCATTTACAGCAGCATACAGATGAGCAATAAGGATTAGGACTAGTACAAGCAAATATTAAGGAAGCATGCTGGGAAAGCAACAATGAAATTCTTACATGCCACTAGTCCCCAACTTACAAATATTTACACACTTATGTTCACTGTTTTAAGGCTATAATGACTGTTTGTTAGATTTGAGAACCGAGTTTGCATAATAAAATTTATGAATATTGATTGATATGGCAATAGGCATTATATTAATATAAATTGAAATATTATTTATCATTGGGTTTTATCTATGATAAAAAATATATATATCTGTAAGTTTCTGCTTGTTATCAGATTGACTTAAAAGAGTTTGGTTTTAACTAAGCTCATTTAAAAACATCACTTCAGTTGTATTTGACATTTTTTTTAAATTGTCAAAATTGGTATATTTTAGTTTAGTGACTAATAATGAAAAGAGCAGAAAGTATATTCTAGTATATAAAGTCTTTTTTTATTTTAAGACAGATAAAAATGTAGATCCAATGAAAAAAAAATGCAACTTAAAAAACAAAAATGTTCCAATGTTGAACGCAAGATATTGTGGAGTCAAGTAAAATGAACCATAACTGTACCAAAAGATCACTCATTAAGATGAAGGTGAAAGTAGGAGGCCTCTGTGAGGAGCTCTTTCTAGAGGACCAAATGAAGGATTCCAACAAGTACTGTGCCCAATCAGAACAACTAAATGTAGCAATTGATAAAAAGTGTAAATAATTAGCAAGGACAAAGATAATGCTTGACGTTATTTCTTTGGAAACCAGGCAAAAATGGTTGGAACTTGACTGGGAAGTTTTACACATCTGCCACATTTATTTGATATTGTATCTTTGGATCACCAATTTTTTCATTTTTTACAGAATTCTTAATGAAAGAAAAATAAAATAAAAATTGTTAAAACTGCAAAAAATGGTGTCTTGCAAAAATTTGTAAATCCCAGCCCAAAATTATGAAAAAATTTTTTCAATTTAAAATATTACATTATATGAAAAGTATTATTACATGAGAAATGTATATAAAGTTGAAAAGCTACTATTTAAAAGAAAATATTTTTTTTTTATCATAGCCTTAACTCTGGAAAGCACTGATGCTACAAAGCTTTTGCATAGATCATTGTTGACTTTTTCTGTCCAAACTATATTGCTTTTTTCGTTTTCAGATGATCTCTGGTGTAGATTATCATTGATAAAATCTTTTTCATATTCTACAAATTTTCTCATGGCCTGAAGTTCAATAAGTTAGGTGACCATTCTAAGAGGTTGATATTATCCTGAAACCATAATTATTCTTTTTTGACATGTTAAGTAGTGTAGTATAGAGAATCATCCTGCATAAAAATGGCACAGTTTCTTGTTTGCAAGAATGGTATCATTTCTTAATTGAAGCTTTTGATACTTGCTTTATCAAATACACTTAAATTATTTTTTATAACAAAAATACTCTGAATGTGTAACAATTAAGTAAATGTAACAATACACTTACAGAAAATTAAATAATTTCCAACATTTTTATTTAATATTTTAAACACTAGTTTGGAAATATTCAGAGGAAGGCAACACAAAAACTATATTCAAAGGGAGACATCATAGAAGCTTACTTGAGGAAATCTGGTAGCAAACATTTGAGTAAAAGTATGTTGCTGTTGCTTTGCAGTCATAAAATGTTGCTCATCTTGTAATCTTTGACGTTTTCTCATTCGCAGTTTTTGTTGCTGCTCACTCATTGCCTGCCTAGCAGGCAAGGTCATAGTTCCTGGCATAGGTCGAGGCCCTTGAGTTGGTAGGCTAGCACCTCGTAAAGCTAGAGAAAGAACAAAAAAAAAAAAAAATCTATAAATCAGACATTCACTAAATTAACAATAGCAAATAGTTTTATTTGTCAAATAAAAGTTTAAATATTGACCATACTCATGCATTATAGATGGAAGAAAGAAAAAACACTTAAAAAAAAAAAAAAAAAAGAAACATTTTTACCTTTTAATTTCAAAAGCAGAATTTTTAATTTGATTTTAGAATCTTAAAACAGTCCTGTTCATAATGTTCTTAATACATAACATGTTTATGCTTGTATGTAGGCAGACATACACATGAAGAGCCTGTAAGAAGCCAAACTACTAATGAGCAGGTGAAATGGTACCAAAATAGTGGAAAACTGACCTAATAATTCAAAGTTCATATTTACAACTATTCAAACATACATGATGGTCATTAGCTTCAAACTTTGTGTCAATTGACATCAAAATATATTTTATGATAAAAAAGCAAATAAAATGTGTTAAACCAGTTCATCTTTTTTATTTGAAATTATATTAAATTAGCAGGCTTTGTAAAGTAAGATATATTCACTACATGAAATCTTTGAAACAAAAATTTTAAATGACCATTTCATTCATAAATTAGCTTGTTATAGTTAAGGAAAGTTTTACAAATAGATGCCAACTTGTTGAAGGCAAAGTAAAAGGCAAATTTCAAACACTTTTCTGCACTATATAAGATGATATTCCTAAACAGAACTATTTTTGATATGAAAATCAAAACAATCTTCAAATAAAAGAATAGTAATGAAAGACAGTTAATTAATGAAATAAACTTTTTAAAATCAATATGCAAATTAGTTAAGCCTGAAGAGTGATCTCTCAGTTGTGTCTCTGTCTTTGGGCATAGTGTACTCAGGGGTGGCTCCGTCAAAGGACAGAGTCACAACTGAGGAAAATTATACTGAGAGGTTCCCAGCCCTGGGGAACAAGTGTCTGCAGCTATGCCCTCTCATTGCACCAGAGAGTCTCTGGTAATTTTTGTTCCTAGCCTGGGTGCATGTACTGAGCTCTCCACATTAAACCTGACCTCATGCGGGTTGAGGAAATACAAATTACTACAAAGACAAGAACTTTATCTTTTTTATATCAGCACTAACTTCTACAATTGTATATGATTTGATTTCTTGTGATTACTTTTTATATGGTATTTGTTTAAGTTGATAAGAAAACAAACAGCATATTTTAAATAAACATTTTCTTTAAAACTATTTTCAAATTTTAATGGTATATACAAGATATCACTTTTAAAATCTGCTGTGAAGCAAAAGGTTAACCTAAAATATTCCTTCTTTAATTTGACTATCTCTAAATAATTTATGCCTTACTATTTTAAAAAAATGATGGCTTCTACTTACATATATAAAAGCATAATAAATGTATGAAACTGATTTGTAAGAGAACCATTAAATAATTTTTTTTGCGAAAAAATTTAATTTTAGTGCCATTTTTCAACCCATGTTTGATGCAATGTAACTCTCTTTATTGAAAAAGATTTTCAAAAAATAAAATATACTTTTCTAAAACGTCGAGGAATATTAACAGATTTTAAGTTTAATTAATCTGATTTGAAACAAATATCATTTTTTTTATGTTTAAAATATTGCAGAAATGCATATTTTAACATGCTGTTTAGCTGTTTATTTAATCTGTTCATGTGTTGACAGATTTATTCAGTGTTATTCTACGAGGACTTTATCAGTAAAAAAAAATAAAATATGTGAGTGCCTTTTATATATAAACTTTTAAATACTCAATAATCTTAAAAATTTAGGAAAATATTTTCCATAATCTAATGTTTTATTGACTTTTATAAATTTTTAATTTAAATTTACGACAGTTATCACTCTTATATTCTGATAATGAAGACTATAGCTACAAAAATTGACACAGTTATACATAATCAAATAAAATTCAAAATTCTTTTAAAAATATTGGTGTTTGATGATTTGTATTAAGCTTTTCCATTTATGATTAGTAAATATAGTTTTTATTTAATATCATCTAAAAGGGTGAAATTAATACAGAATTTTAAAAGATTTAAAACTTAAATTATTATTCAAATTAAAATTTTAAAAAACTGAGAAGAATTCTTGTAAAAATTCCTTATTCATTGAAAAAAATTTTTTAAGACAATAGTGTCCTTAATATATCTTATTTATAAAAGCAATTAAAAGTTTTTCTAATTAAATAATGTCTTAGTTTTATTGCATTTTTATTTTATGATGATTTAAAGCAGATTTTTGGTAAATGGTGTTTCTGTTTTACAAAAAAAAAAAAAAAAATTATTCAAGGTGCCCTGCTTTTAACTAATATAATAAATATGAAGCAGGTAAAATTTAATTTTTTGAAATTTCATAAAATTAAGTAGGTGGTGGGGAGCAACAGATGTAAAAATATTTTTAAAAAAAAAAAAATTTTTTTTAAATTATTTCATTCATTTGTGAATAAGTTCTGAAAATTTAATTAAAATCCAACAGTTTTTGCAAGAATCTCCAAATCAATGTGTTCCTTACTGCAAAAAAGACTGAAATTTCCAATACTGCACCCTACCCCCACTGGTTCATTTTTATCAAGTTTGGGGCCTTTTTCATCATGGTATGCTCTTTTTTTTTTCCATTAAAAAATACTTTATTTTTGTATAACAGTCTTGTCAAGTCAGTATCAACAGATGAAAAACATTTTCTTTTCAATTTTTATACTTTTCAGCAATTCTGCTTTAACAGAAAAAACTGTAAATAATATAAATTGCCAAAGCTCCTGAACCACTGACTGTAAGTAAATTCTAGTTGTAAAGATATTTTCTACTTAAAATACATATAGATATATAGTACATGGAAAATTTTTTTTACAAAGGTGGTGTTCAGTAGGCAACATACACTAATTAGTCAGTTCCAGAAAAAAATTTCGCAAAATAAAAATCTTTCAAAAAAGCAAGCATATAAATATCATACATTTTCTAATTTAGACAATATTTTAAATATATTGTCATGCTATTTTGTAGAATGTAATTTTTATAAGACTGAATATTTTTAAATGTATTAAAAGAAATTTGACTTGGACAATATAAGAAATTACTAAAATATGATATGCAATCTTTACAATAAAAGACTTCATCAAAATAGGTAATAATAAATTATGTTAATTAAAAATATTACTGATGAATTTTAAATAGCCAAAAGTATTTTAATTCTAGCTTAGAGAAAGAGAAGTGTCTTCATACAAATATCAGCTAATCAACAAATTGAGAAGTTATCATTTTTGCTTTATGAAATAATTTACTAAGTTTTATCTATCTAGTTAAGTATTAGTTAAATGGATATTTTTATTCCAGTCAAAATTAACTATATAAGCAAACAAATGAAAAAAAAATATCACCTCTATTTGTTACTTTTCCAATTTAATGAGCTTCAAAGGCCAAAATTTTACTTATTGTATTCATTGCATCTTTTTGTTAAAAATGGATTCTAATAGAATAATTTAATGGTTCAGTTGAGTAAAAAAAAAAAATTCATAGAACATCTCAAAGTGTAAGATGTTCATGAAATCTAACTTAAACAAGATTATCCAATTACAAATATGCAAATAGCAGAAAAAGAAATCGGTGATTAAATCACCTTGATATCATTAATGTGTGCGTTGAGACCAGAGATTATTTTGATGAGATGAAAAATCCCCAAAGTGTACTATTGATTTTGACTACTATTTACTTCATCTTAATTCCTGTGATAAAAAGCAACTAAAAAGCTGAAATAAACACTGGTCAAAATTAATAAAAGTCAGTGCTCTGCTTGAATATTTAAAGGTACAATGTAAAATGTTTTAAGTGAGTTTTGTGTAATTTAATGTTAAGATGAAAAATTTTCAACTAAAGTGTAAACATAAAAAACAAACCCAATTTTTATGCATTAAGAAATTACATTAAAATTATTTTACATAGTTCAACATTAGGACAAATATTAGCTATAGAATAAAAACAGGTAAGACAGAGTATGAACACTTGTGTAGTGAAAAATTGTCCATATATAGTCATAAAGTAAAGCTTTACCTTGGGGTGGACCTTGTGTAAGCTGAGGTGATGCCTGCCCATATGGGGAAACGGCTTGGCTGAATGGTGGTGGTGGAGGAGGTGGTGGTGGTGGTGGCGGTTGTTGTTGTGGCTGCTGTGATTGTTGGGCAGCAGCAAGGGCCAAACTTTGCTGATGAGTAAGATGTGAATAGTTTTGTATTTCCTGCATTGCAAGACCTTGCTGGGTCATACCAGCTGCATCATGGCTATAAGATCCAACTCCTGCCTGTCCACTTGCTGCAAGTTGATTAGCCCCTAATGGTGCAGCTGACATGGATACACCAGGTTTACCAGATACAGCAGATGCTTGATTATCAGGAAATCCTATAAAAAAAAAAATATTTTAAAAATCATGATTTTAAATATTTTCTACATAGAGCTAATAAAATATCACTATGAATTTTTGATAAGAATACATTGCTTAAAATATAATAAAAATACTTTTAAAATAAAAAAAAGTTTCTGTAATAAATTCAGGGCACCTTTAAATTGAATTTAAAATCTTAGTTTTTTTTTATTAAAAAATTGCTTGCAATTAAAAAATGGTCATAAGAAAATTTTCTTTGTGTCTTGTTCCAATGTTTAATTTTAAATTCTTTATTTTATTTCTTAAATTTTGGCTTCTAACCATAGTATGACAATTTAAAAATTTTTATTTTGGCAATTTAAGATATCACAAATATCTGCCATTGCATATTGCTCCATTTCATTCACAATAAGAAAATTAGCATTTTACTAATTTTGTGTTAAATTGAATGAAACAAGTGATGAAAATGTTAACTGGTTAGTTGAAATTTTTCTTTTCAATTATGAAAACTTTTAGAGATGCTAATAATTTAATGTTAGCCTAGATTCAAAAAAAAAAAAAATAATAATGAAAGATTAATGTGCAAGTTTCTTGCAAAAATTAAAGGTTTTTCAACCTTCTCAGCATTTTTTAGAATCTACATCCAGCACATTTTTCACTATTTAAAACTAATACTATTTGATATCCCAAATGAAAATTTAATTTTCAATTTATCTAAAACCTTTTAATAGGCATTGATAAAAAAATCAAAACAAAATTTATCTTAGCTGCTCCATTAGCAACAAGAGTTATGATCATTCAAATTTCATTGGAACTTAATTTTTGTCTTACATGCCAAAAGTCAATTTTATCATTCTATGACTGAAGATGCAGGTTCCAAACAAGTGGAAATTGTTTATAAATGTAATGTCATATAGAACACAACACACTGAAGTAAAAGAAAGATGATACTAGTGAAATAGATAATTATTAGATCAGACCAGCCTAAACATTGAGGAAAATCACATTAAAAAAGAAAAGAAAAAAAGAAAATTATTACAAAATGACATGAAAAGGTAACATTGATTATTCATAAATATTTCATTTCATCAGTTAATGCCATGTAACTTCTTAATATGATTCATAGTACAATAGAATTTTTTTTCATGAATACATAAATAAAATAATTCATATTTACACCATGTAAAAACACCCTGAAGTACAATTTGATAGTAGAGCAAAGCTGTTCAAAAGTATATTATATTGAATTTGCCATAAAAAAAAAGTATCCCTTAGAGATACTGGCCTGAAACTTTTCAAACACCTAATTTCTGGATGAGAAATTCAACAAAACAGTTCTAACAAATACTTTTGTTATAGATGCATGTAATTTTGTAAAATTATGCATTATGCAATATTTGACTTGCTAGAAAAAACATTAATGACTTATAAAAGCTAGAAATTTGTCACATGAAAGAAATCATTGGTCAATTTTTCAAACAAATTCTTACTGTAACTCATTTATTTTCAAACAAATTCTTACTGTAACTCATTTATTTTCAAACTAAAAAGCAGAAATGAATAAAAATACATTTATTGGAACTGATAAAAAAGGCTTTCTGAGCAGTTTGAATGGTCTTCGTGCATTTCCTTTCCTAATAGTGATTTTCAGTCTGAATTTGTATATAAACTTTTACTATAACCAATATTCCTGGAACACATCATATCCTACCATAGCCTGAAATTGGTATTACATCAAAATCCTATCTAAAGACAAATTTCTGCAATATATTTGACAAAGGCTATCAGGAGTAATCATTTCTGCCTTTGATTAGAGTTAAAAAATTGATTACAGCACTGGACAGAAATGTTATATCAATGACATGGTCAATGTAAAAGTTGGTGTCATAGTATGTTGCATCCCATGGTGCTTGTAATTGAAGGTCATATGAAGTGCTAGGTCTTCATAAAACTGCTACAGTTGTTTCAACACTGATTCACTAAGTTCCTTTTCTTCCTTCCCTTATTACTTTAGAAGTGGAAATGAATTGACTTATTTTTTTGTTGTCAAAAAGTTGTAGAGAGTAGTTTCTAGATGAATTTTACTTCCATTAGAGTTGATTTTAAGAGAACCATCAGATATCTCATTTAATCATTCAGTGCATCCAAGTCATTGCCTGACACCAGTTGTTAATATTTGTTGAACTAGTTTCTTAAATTTTGACTGATCCATATTGGTGCTAAGAAAGAATTTGCAGAATCAAGCAAAAACCTGTAAGTAAAGATGTACAATTCTTGTATAACAGGCAAAAGAGATTTTAACAAAGAGTATTTCTTAACAGTGAGAGATTTTGTGGAACAATTTTTATTTTTATTGTTGCCTAAACCTTTGTGTGCTCACATATCTAAGTAATTCCCCTCATTTCTCCATGGTCCTTAAAACCATCAATATAGACAAGATCTTACTTGTTGCTGTCAGGACCAGGACCAATGTCACAACTTTATTCAAATTACTAGGCAAGCGTGTTACTGCCAGAAGATTAAATGTAAATTTTATTTAAACCTTGGGTAAGAGTCTTGAGCATGGAAAGCACTAAAAAAAAGTGTATCCCCCCCAAAAAAAAACCCATAAAACATATCTATTTTTCTTTTTAATAAAATATGTCCAGTTTATTTCAAAATGAAAATTTTTCTCAATGTAACCTCTAAAACGGAAGCCAATCCTGAGAATTAGTAAATAAATGAATATTTGAAATAAACGAAAAAAAGAAAGATGATTACATTTTTAAAATTAGATTTCAATTTTTTATGTACCCAAAATTAAGCTAAAAAATATATGAAAAAAAATATATATCCAGTTTCTTTTTAAAAAAAAAGAAGAAAAAAAAAAAGAAAAAAAGATAATGTAATTAATTTTCAATTAAATCCCCAAATGATAATTAAAAGGAAAACAGGATACATTTTTGTAAAGGTTTTATTTAATTTTTTTATGAACAAATGCGAGTTGGCAAAAGTTAAAAAACTAAGAATATACCCAGTCTATTTAATTTATTCATTAACATGAATTCAGTTTAAATTTTTTTTTTTTTAAAAAGAAAATTCATAAAAAAAACAGCTGAGGTGAAAGTAAAATACAATGTATATACAATTTTAGAATGTATCACTAAAGAAAATGTGAGAAAAAGATTTAAACTCACCAAGAAACAGAAATATCTATTGATGAAACAAGTCTGATTTAAAATGGAATTGGTTCACTTGGTCAACAGTTCTAATTTTGATGCACTGGGCCCAATAGTTATGTACAAAAGTGACATGTAGACCCTCTTTTTGATTTGCATGCACATTGAATTGGATGAGTGGAGTGATATGAAACCAACTGATTATTAAAGAGAGATTGTTCTACACATTTTCTTTTTACGGGTTGAATTTCTCTGGTATTTCATTCATAGAAGTTCTCAATTTAGAAATCTTTTGGAAAGATTTCTCTAAACTCTATTTTTAACACTTAGTAGACGTCAGGTTTGATATATTGGCTGAAAAGTCAAATGCCGATCTATCAGCCCAATAATACAAGTCTCAAGATTATCTGGTTGGTCTTCATATCAGCCAATCAGATTGTTTCTCACATTTCTTGCACATTTGGGCATTTCAATGGTGGTTTCTATGATGTTTTTTTATATAATTGATGGTTTGTTATGATTTTATATAATTTTTTTTTGTGTTGCAAGTGAGAGCTTGTAAAAGGGCTCCATCTTCTTGGCACTGAAGCTCCAAATGAGGCTCTGTCATACCCACTTAGTTTTTAAGATGGGATTACTTTGACATGTGTAGGGACAGACAACTCTGAGAACTGCAAGTTTGAAAACCACAAACAAAATTCTTAGCTTTCAAAATGCAGAAAAAAAAGCACCCACCATTGAAATATAAACACAATTTAAAGAGATGTGGAATAAGAACTAATCATTACACAAGAGGAGGAATTATATTTTTATAAAGAGAATGATTAAATTTTGTTTACATACTAATTTTTATCAAAAAGACCCTGAAAATAAGTGAGATCTCACCAGATGAACTTGAAGGAAATTTAACTATTTTAAACCATTTCACATTAAAAAAAAATAGTGCAGTTTGAGATTTGAGATATTGAGTATAGCTAATCTATTTATAAGAACATGCAAAATTCTCATATACCTATTAAAAAAATCCCTGAAATATTACAAAGGACATAAAACTTAAAACAACTGTGTGAATTACAAGAACTTACTTATCAAATTGCAAAAATCCTTTTGTAGGCACATGAATTTGTATGAAATATTCTGATTATGGTAAAAAATGTTAATGTAAATCACACTCAATATTGTATACAATGTTTTGATTCTAATCAATAAAATAAAGGTTCTAAGGAAAAGTTACACACCTGCCATTGGTTCTAAACTCATCAGCTGCTTCTGGATAGCTTCAATGGCTTTCTTCTCCTGAAGGTCCAAGTTGCTGTTACTTCCGGTTTGGTTTGAAGAATTAAACAAATTTGATTCTAATTCCATTAACTGTAAATTTGTGTCAGTAAAGTCATGTTCTAGTTGAGATAGAAATGTGTCATCCTGATTAAGGTCAGAAGAACCAGTTCTTACGGGCTGTGACATAGAGTTGACCACTCCACCTGTTGGCATGCCTGGAATCCCTGGATTACTGGTATTCAGCTGACCATTATCTAGATCATTTTGGAGATCAACCGCTTGTTGGAGAATATGAGCTAAAAGAGCATCTTTAGAGTCTTTTTTAGAGTTGCTTTCTCCATTTGGTTTATTGTTACTGGTAGAGTTTGAAGGTACTTGTCGTGCCATTTGAGGTTGACCAGCTGTCGAATTAAACTGGTCAGATGTACTTGATGCAGTAATACAAGAATAGCTTGTTGCAACACTTGTAAAGACTTGTTTGTTAGGATAAACATTATTCTCAGTAGACATTGTTTTACTAGAATCTACTGAATTATTATGAAAATTACCTTCTGATGATGACCGAGAAGGCTCATGGAGATTTGAGCCTGCACTGCATTCTTTTTCACATTCTGTTGAAGAAACATCATTATTACTTTTTTTATCAAGTGGTTTGAGTGGAAGAACTTTATCTTTTGGTGTTCGTGGTGTTGGTAGTGCAGTTGGATTTGCTGTAATTTGAGTATTAACAACAATCTCACGATTTGTTTTTCTGGAAAGGAGCTGAGCAAGAAGGACATTACGCTGTAGCACTTTGCTAGGTGGGTCAGTTGAAGTAGTAGGCTCACTGTCTAGCATGTCATTCGAATCAGCATCAAATGAAGCTTTTCGTTTAATGCTTTTTGATCGACCTTCATTCTTCATTTTATTTGAATTATCCTTATCCCAATAAGAGAAAAAATTGTGGAAATCAGGATGTACGTTCTCAGGTGACTTTATTAATTCGGACGGTTTGAGCATTGAGTCATCAAAACTAGTCCGATGGGGGACACTGGAAGTAGACTCTGGTAGCCCTGTGTGAGTGGTGGTCGGAAACTGAGGTCCTGATACATGACGATGACGAGAGCTATCTTGATCTTGACTAGTACTTTGCTGTAAATAAATCAAACATTTTAGTTTTAGTCTACAGGTTTGGTTTTTTTTGGTTAAACTATATAGTTTTGTAACCAACTTATTTTGCAATGGCTGTTACAAAAAGATTTTTTTTTTTAAATTATACCTTCATGATGTATAACATTCAGAAAACTTGGAAGTTTGATTGTACAACAAGGTATTTTAGATGTTTTGTTGTTTTTTTTAAAATTCATATTGAAATAAAGCAAAGCATTATCAACAAACCTTTTAAATTTTATCAATTATACACACTCCGGTTTTTGATAAAATCAAATTTCTTACCGAGCTTTACTTTGGGGAAACAAATGGCCAAAAAATACATTTAGACTATCATACTTAGATAGATGTACTAGATAGTTGAATTAAACTTGTAAATTAGAAATGACAAATTATGTTATAAATAAAGTATTAAGATAAACATTTTAAAAAATTATAGTAAGCAATTATCACATACGGCTGGAACAGTGGCCTTTATCTCCTCCTCTTCATCTTCTTGTAATAATTTTTGGAGTAAATCTTTGTGATTATTTTTATCTACCTTTCCAACTTCAGATGTTGCTTGATGGTCATCACTAAGAAGTTGCTGCAAATTAAAAAGTTAAAACATGTGACAGGTAATATGAAATGCTGGATTCCAAATAAACCAAAACAATAGTCATGTCTTAGTTGGATTGATAGTTTTTATCAGATGATACCAAATGAAATATAAACAAAATTAAAAATAGATTTAAGTGACACCACTACTTTGGGTTAAGAAAAGAAAAACAGTTAATGGAGATTACTGGCAAGCATTTTTACAGCTTTGTAGATTTTTACTGCTATATATTTTCTTTTTAGTGAGCAACAAAATTTTTCAATCTACTGTTGCATATGCATTTCACTGCATTTATATTTGAATCATTGAAATGCAGACAAGATATACTGTTGACAAAAAATTGTATAAACAAATATGTTTCAAATATTTAATACTTACTTTTAATAATTCATCATTATTTGTAGATTTTTTTGGCTCAGCTTCATTTTTATCAACTTCCATTGCACTGTCTTCATTTGGTGAACGTATATCTTCTTCATGTCGTTTAGAGTTTGTTTCATCTTCATCTCTACTGAGTAACTTTTTCAGAATCATATCAGGACGTTTAGAATCATTTTGGCCTGAAACACCATTACCACCTCCAGTATTCATATGATCCATTTCATCATTTCCTGAAGTACTCTGTGGCTTTTCCTGAGGTGACTGACCAGGTCCCGGCTGCGGTGATTGATCAATACTGCCACCAGGAGATTTGACACTAGATTTATTATTCTCTCCCACACACAGTTCATCACCTCGAGAGTTTTCAGTCTTTGCCGCAGGACTCTGATCTGAAGTAGAAGTGTTTTGAGTGAGCAATTGGCATAATTTTGGTGGACGTTGATTGGCTTTCTTGTCACCAATACATTGTGCTTCAGTTTTAATGTTCATAAAATTGGCATCAGGCCGCATACGGTTTTGTGCTTGGCTGTTGAAAGTATTTGTTTGGGTTGCACAATGTGGTACTGCAGTTGTCATAGGGGAATATTCTGCAGGATGGTTCCAAGTAGACTGTTGGCTTGTCATTGCACCTGTATTAAAAAAAGTTAAACTTTTCAAAGAATATTAGATTTTATATATACATAAACAATCACCAAAGATGATTACACACATAGGTATAGCCAGTGATAAGCCTCATTTATTAAATTTCATTTTAAAGATGACATAACTTAAAATGATTTCTGAGAAATTATTTAGGATCAGTTATAATAGATTTCCTTTATAGCAGAAAGTCAATTTTTATAAATGTCACTATTGATTGTAATATTTCTGTTCTTTTGTCTTTCAGAATAAAAAAGACATCAACCAATTTGTTTTTCTGTACCATAAATAAAGCCTGGTAAGATAAGGTACTGCTGCAGCACATTAGGTTAGTGCTAAAACTACTTTAAGTTTCACAACCATGCCTAAAACCAGATTCAGCATCTGATGAAGATTTTCTTGGCAACACAATTGTTTTAAAAGTAGCACTTACATGAATTTGTATCTTACAAAACTGAATTTAAGTATTTTTTTTTTAAATCATATGACAGAATTATTTCCTTTTCTCTTACATTCATAGAAACATGAAATGAAAATGTTTGATATCTGCTGAAAAAAGTGACTAAGGTAGTATCACTTTGATAACACTTGTATTAAACTGCAATACAATATAACAATTTGTAATTTGATCAAAAATGATAAATAATTGTGATACACACCACAAATATTCTAAGGTTATCTAGGATTGAACATGATAATGAGAACTTAAAAATATCAAAGTATGTTTACAGAAATTTGATTGTTTACATAAAAGCCATCATATGTGATTTATGGTAGATAAAAAAAAAATCACAAGGCTGAGCTACTAAAAAATGATTACCAACAAATTTTATAGTTAATTAAATTTACTTCAACAAGACAGATGTAATAATCTCTTATCAAATTAGTTAATCTAATTTGCAATACATTGGAGAAATATGTAGAACAAATGAATTTTGATTTTTTTTTTATGTATAAATGTGCACATTTTAAAAGCATGGGTAACCATACATAACATTATCAGATAATAAGAGTGTTGACTATAGTAAATTTAAAGTCAACATTTCTAAAATTAGATTATGGAGAATATTTTCCAAAATTTTTAAGACTTCTAAGTACTTAAAAATTACATAAAAAGGTGCTCACACCATTTTAAATTATTTTTTACAAATAAAGTCTCTATAGAACAATAAAGTACCACTTTGTCATCACTCACTACTGTTGGTTAAAAACACAGCTACTGTTTGGTTTAAAAATGCATTTCTGTGCTAAACTTAAAGTAAATAATATGCTTCAAATCAGATTAATTATACTTTAAATCAGATAATATTCCTTAAATAAAATTTCAGAAAAAGTATACTTTATTTTTGGAAGATTTTTTTAATAAAGAGAATTACATTGCAATGAAAGATGAGTAAAAAAAGGGTGTTAATCAGCTATTAAAAAAAAAAAAAAAAAAACCTTCCAGTCAATTTAAATTAGCTTTTGAAATACAGTAAAGTATTTTGCTTATTGGAAATATTAAATTTAATCTATTAGATTTTTCATTTTTAAAAATCCATTTTAAACTTTAGGTATCTTTTCTTTTCTTTTGTGAAGGTACCTACATTACAAAGTAAAGCTTTGATGGCACAAAAACCTTTACGCTTATAGGTATTCATTTACTACATGAAATTATTAAAATAATAAAAATGATATATCACTCTACAAGGATGACTGCCTCAATATTAATAAACTCTAAGACAAAACCAGAAAAATAATCATAAAATTTTAAAAATATGATTCAACAGACAAAAACTAACATAAAAGAGGAGAACTTTACTAATGTAATCCCTACTGTCCACTGTAATTAGATTTTAAGACTTGTCTGAGCAATAAGGAAAATGCCTGATATAAACTTTACATGAAACTGAAATCTGTCAATATGTAATATATACAAATTCTAATTTTTAACTCTAAGGATTACCAATCAGCTTGTAGATTGATATGTCTTAAATACATTTATGAAAAATCTTTTGAAACTACAAAGCCAATCTATTAGAAAATAAAATCAATTATATTTATCAACCTGATATCCCATTCTTTCAGACATTGTTATTACATTTACTAATGATCAATAATCAAATATACCTTGTATTATAACAATGGGACATCTCATCAGTAAATAGGAGAGATCAAACTGCTTATACATTGTTTTATATTTCTTTTCATGTTATCTTTTGGATATTTTTATGCTTAACAACTCAAAAATTTTTACACCTGAATAGTTAAAAAATATTATATTAGTTATGCAGAAAATGTAATCAACGAAATTGTAAAATTAAATATTTTATATCATTTTTTGCCAGCACAAGTAAACTAGTAATGAATAAACAAATACAAATGAAAATTTACAATAACAAAATCTAAGCAAAATTACAATGAAGGATAACAAAACTAAAAACAAAATTGCAATAAAGATTTAATACATTTAAAAATGATGTAAAAAGAAATTTTAAATAATAAAGTAAATAAATCACTATTTCAAAACTGCACTCATAGCAACATACAAATATGAACACAGACTATTAAATTGGGATTTACTGATACCAGTATATGTATTAAAAAGACAAAATCTTTCATTCCAGACATCTATATACTGTTCAACTGTTCTCTGGAGATTTATGAACCTGCAGACTATGGTGTAACAAATAAGAAAATAAAATTGCAGCTCAGTCATACTAGACCAATAAAGAGAGACTAACCGTTGAGAATTATTTTGGGGTACAAATATGGTATTGCCATTTGACTGACAGGAGATCTGATACTTGCCTTTCAAAGTTTCTTAACTGGACCTCTATCCAATGATAGTTAAAAGACATGATGAAAGGAGCAGTGTTAAAAGATGGGTGAATTGATTTAATACAACAAGCTTGGCTAATGCTATGAATAAGGTAGAGCAGTCTTAGGATTTTTAATTCTCAGAAGGCATTAAGTAATTTAGTCTGCTAAATTTACACAAATTTCTTAAAACTGAACTGGTACTTTGCTACCACAGATCCATCCATTCTAGCCAGTACTCTATAATATATATATATATATATATATACACACACACACACAGAGCTGCAAAACTATGACACACACACACACACACACTGAGTTTGTCATTAAATTCTTTTTAAAAAATCCCAGGTTAAAATTAAAGGTTTCCCCTGTTGTGGATGTATTTACACATCTTTGCAAAACTTACATTGCCTGCTGTTGTCATGTTTGTGTTATAAAGCATATAGTGTTTGGTTTTGTGTTATTTCCAAAACACTAGAGAGATCTAGTAGTGTACATTATAACCACCAGTATGGTAACATTTTTTCTTATATTGTGCATTGAGAATGTTGTTTAGCCTATTCTGTATTGTAGATTATCAAAAAACCAAAATGACAGTTCCCATGAGAAATCGTTGTTAGTGTCTTTATAATATAGTCATTTATTTTCATTAAATGTCAATTTCCTAATTTTTCCCAAAATGGGCCAGCATGGCCAAAAAACAATGCTACAACAATGCAGCAGTGAATTAACAATTATAAACCATAAAGTAAAACAAAGAATTTTTGCTAGGAAAATTAATTTAAAAAAAGCTATTTTAAAACTCATTGGGTTGCAGAACAATAGTTTCTAGAAATATCTCAAGTACATGCATCACAATAAAACAAAAGAAAAAAAAAAAACAAAACAAAAAAACAAAATATACTGAACATTTTTTTTTTAAGGCTTGTAATATTTGGTATTCTCTAGTAGTCCACAATACTAAAAGTAAAATTTCACACAAGTTATCAAAGGTGATATGTCACAAATTTTGTATTTGACTGTTTATAATCAGATTCAAATTATATAGTTATATTGAACAACTTTTAGAACAATCCTAGTGAATAAATACTTTGATAAAAAAAACAAACAAAAAACTCCAAAAACAAACAAATATGTATGATATATGAATACATACCAGTAGGTGATACTGCAGGTAAGTTATTTTTCCTTTGGTATTGATAGAGAGTGGGATTTCTTCCCTGAGGCATCTGTGAACTAGGACTTCTCTGGGAATAGGCTGGAGCGTTAAGCGGTCTTGGGCCTCCCATGTGTTGTACAAGGTTTCTATGTCTATTGGCACTGACACCAGGTACCCTAGCAGCAAAATTTGGATTTCGTACACCATCAAAAGCAGCTTGTTGCTGCTGAAAATTCCCTGAAGAGGATAAGTGCTTATTCATTGAACTGGCAGGCTCACCACCAACCAAGCTAGCTAGAATCATATTTTCATTTATCATTTCAGAATTCTGAGTACTACGAGGAGTGGATACATTGTTCCAATTGTTGGGTGCTGTGTTACTTATATTGAAACCACCCATTGCAATCAAAGACACAGATGGAGAACCATAGTTCATATTTGACATATTGTTATCCATGGACGGTTGTGCATGTGAGTTGAACATCTCCCAGCCAATTCGGCTATTAGGATTGCTCCCAACATGCATGTCCATACCATCTGGGTTAATGTTTACTCCAGATCCTGTCTCTCCTGGATAGGGAGCTGGTGCTGGTGGCATCATGCCACTACTAGACTGATCCTGTTGTTGAAACTGTTGATATTGTGAACTATTATTTTTCAAGGCATTTCCCAGTGATTTCAGTTCATTTTCACTTTCTCTGTATATATATGAAAAAAAATAAAAATAAAAAATTAATGAATATTTATGGCTGGTAAAATGTAGGACACATTCTTAAATATGGATACATGCTTAAAAACAAAACTGATCTAGTGAGAAGAAATATTTCTTTAGTCAAAGTTTTATCCTTATATTCATACAAGAAGAGGAAGAGGTGGAGTCAAAGTTCTAACCATGTTTTCATAAGATGGATAGGGGATGAATAGTTAGAATATATCATTATGAAAAACTTTTTTTATTGTATTTTTTTGTGAGACAATGTTAGCAGCTTTTCATATTTATTCACGCTATTTGCTAGAATCCTTATATAATGTTTGATTATGTAAACATTATTGTGAAGTTTAGTTTAATTATACAACTTTATAAATTTTATAGAAAAAGAAGTGTACAGAAAAATAATCAGGTTTGGAAACCAATGAGCATTTCTTAAACAAAAAAAATACTAATATAAAAACTAATTCTCTCAAGAAATCACATCTATTTATGACAAGTTGGGGATTAAAGAAAAACAAGCTAATCTGTTGTGTTTTCAAAATGCAGAGAAAGGGAAAAACATTTCTGAGACAAAACTAATTGGAAGTAAAACTGAGATGTAGGTGAATCTAATTAAAAAGAAGTTTACCACTACGAATCTTAAATTATAACAAATTCACAAGGTTTAAAATAAAGTGCCGAGGAAGCAATTAAAAAGGAACAGAATAGAACAGAGAATGCTAATGTAAAGAATAATATATATATATATATATATATATATATATATATATATATATACACACACACATACAAACTTTGAAAAGAAATTCAGTATTGAAATACATGACTACTTTATTCTTAGTGTGTTTGCATTATTGGAAGGTAGAATAATCTTTAAAGCTGTGTATATATATATATATATATATATATATATATATATATATATATATATTTAATCATTTTACCGCAAGCAATAAAGCCACAAGGGGTAAAATTTGGAAAAAAAAAAAAAAAAAAAATTATTTAGGTAGGGAAAAAAAAAAAAAAAAGAAAAAAAAAGAAAGAAAATAAGGAATTAGAAGATAACGATTGACATTGTATTTAAATTTTTGAAGATCTAAAACTGACTGCAAAGCATGAAGCTGGAAGAGAGTTACCACAAGTGAAAAGTGTGAAGTTGTAAGCTATATTTAAAGAATTACTAAAAAAATGTCTTTACTGTACAGTTTTTATATACTTTCAGACTAAAAGAAATCTGCTTTCTTCTCAAAATTTGACTTATTTAGTACAGTTAGACAATAGGAAGAAAACTATTTAAAGCAATATTTAGGAATGTAAATAACATAAAAAACTTTTTCTCCAATCTTTGCATTTTTCATTACAATTTTCATGGTAAATGTATACGACTAAAAATTTAAACATTTTTGTAAAGAGTGATTAATTTGAAATTTTCTTACAAAAAATATATATATATATATATATATATAATATGATTTTTTCTTTGTTGAAATACTATTTACCTAAGAATGATGTGAGTGGAAGTTATACACTCTATCTCTTTACTAACGGGGTTAGTGAATGGATGACTAGTTGTTTGAGTGTTGACATAATGATTATCTTGCAACTTGAATCTGAACACGTTGCTTTTGTACTGGCCATTTTGCAATACTGAAAAAGAAAAAAAAAAATTAGTATTTTAATATACACATTATACATACAGAAATCAGTTCCAATCCCATCTCCATATATACTTCACTAAAAAAATTTTTTAAAAAATAATTAAATTTTACAAAAATGTTTTAGAAATTGACAGTAATATTTTAGCGACTTGGCAAATCTTCTCAATGTCATCATTGTTCTTGAAATTTTCAATATTTTAGTTTTCAAATTTCTGCTAAATGCCAGTTAATTCTATATTTTAAATTCATAGAGAATTCAAGTAATAAAAATTTGATTTCCTGGTAGAAAATCCATCATTTTACAGCAGAAGATATAAGTTTACCATAGCTATATTAATATGGTGTGTATGTGTATTCTAGATACACAAGATTAAATAAAAACTGTTTAATATCTGACAAAACAAATGGTTATATAGTTATTTGTTTTAACATATCAAATAGCCTCTATTTTTGACAATTATTTTAAGTACTTTGTGCAAAGTAAAGTTTTGCATTTTTAAAGAATATACTTACAAAGCTTTACAATACACTGTAAATATATTTTTATTGAATTGCCATTTATACAGAAGGGCAAAATTAAAATGTTGGCAATAAAAGTAGTAATCTGCATTAAAATAAAACATGTTCCTTGGCTATCTGTAGTATCTTGGCAATTTTTTGGCAGAAATTTGTTGATCATGTAGGTGATGATCAACAATTTTAGGACCTGACACTGTTGTAGGACTCCCAGGTCATGCTGCATTTTTTCATTTCAAAATCTCCACACTGGAGTTGGCATGTCACTTCATAGGTAAGTATGAAGTAACCAAATTCAGTCAATGATCTGAAATGAATTTAGAAATATGCAAAAGAATCCTATAGATTAGAAATTTTTTAATATAGAAGAACACTCGTTCCATAAACTGATGATCAGTTTCTGGGAAGTGGGCCAGACTGAGAACTTTTCAGCACCTCTTCTAAAAACAAAAATGAAAATCGATCAGATATACTGGATAAAATCTAATTTGAAGTTCAGATCAAATGAGATTTTTAAAAAGCCTGCACATTTTTAACAAATAATCATTCCTTTAAATATATATAATTGTAAAGTAATGTAAAGTTTAAAATAGTTTTCACAAATCAGTCTTAGATTGATAACAATTCTGTTTACAATACAATATGTAACATTTGTTTTTGAGTGGGTTCTCAATCAATTTAGAAATAAAATTTACCAGAGTTGTGGATTTTTTTCAGTATTCAGATTAAATTCTAAAACAAAACTTAAAAAAAAAAAAAAAATACCAACAAGGGTGACAGCATGAAGATGAATTTTTGCCAAGTCCATAAAAATGAAACAATTCTTCAATTCTTTTATCTTTGTAAAATTCTTTAATTTAAATGAAAAAAAAAACAAAAACCTGTAAATATTTTGTAAAAAAAAAGAAAAGAAAACCTATACAAACTTTTTCGTATATTTCATTAATAAATCAAAAAGAATATAAGAATCCTATTTGTTTCGAAGCAGCAATGCTGAAAATTTAAAAAATGTTTCAAAATGATGGTCTAACAGAAAACCCTAGTACAAGAGGGCAACAGATCAAATTTACAAACAGAAACACGTAAACTCAAAATGTTTATTTCAAGAAACTAAAGCTGTGTAGTGTAGGATATTTTTTTAATGCATTCTTTCTTTTTGATCCAAAAGCCTCTTTATCAGAGAAACAGTTTTCTCATCATTTTTTTTTTTTTTGGCAGTTTCAGACGATATGCAATGACATGCTAAGTTTGTCATTAAAAGAAAAAAATAAATCGAAGCAACAAAAACATCTTGTAGGAAACGACAAATCTAGAAAAACTAAATGGTAAAGTAAAAGACAAGTGAAAATAATTTTAATTCGATTTAATTATTTTATGAATAGTTGCAGATAACATCAAAATTAGCGTAAATATCGAATGAGATACTCAATAATTTATAAAGAGATTTAAAAGAATGTGAAACAAAAAAAATGTATGCAAACTGCATACTATGAGAAAAGAAACCCTAGAACGAGTAAAAGTACACACGAGTTTGTAATAAACGTCATTTTATTTTGCCCATATTTAATATGGACTAATTTAAAAATATTTAAATCTACAAGGCAATCACAATATGAATTTGAAAAAGATTTTGAAAATCGTAGTATTGATCCTAATTATAAAAGCAAATGTGCGTATATGTGCATAGTAGCAGGCAAGCAAGGCAGAATATGTTCGGTGAGGAGCGTAAACTACAACCAACCATGAGGCAAGTTGTTGTAATGATCAATTGGCTTTTGCAGAGACAAAAATCGATAGCAGATTGAGCAAAGGCAAGTAAGTATCTTATTGTAACACGTGGCTGCAACTGAGGAAATTCGTAAAGTTGCTTCAACCCCCCCCCAAAAAAAAACATCCAAGTGATAGGATATCTAGATAAAACGCTGAAGGAATTATACAAGCGAAAGTGGGTGATCATTTTTAGGAATAAAACCATAGGCTCACGAGTATAACATCGGTACACATAAAAATAGGCCGACCATATCAATTTGAATTTATAAAAAAAAAAACATACAAAAATAAATGGATGGCGAGATAAATTTGGAAACATCACTAAATAATAAAAACGCGTCCTTAAGTGGTGATAGAATCATAACACTAGGCCACTGCTAAAGTGCAGTCAACATTTTCACATGAATTGATGCTACAGTAGTAGTTACTTATGGTACTACTAAGTAGTAGAATGTATTTATTTTGCGTTAACCATCACAAGCTGATAGGATGCAATTGTCAAGTCACTGCAGCATAAATGTCCCAAAAGATGAAGATATGAATTGTTTGTACAGCAGCAAGATAGAAGAAATCGACCATTTATCAGATATTTTTTTAGCAATGATCGTAGTAGATAGTAATGATCGAACTTGCGTAAGGTAAGGAGCATGGATTCACGCAGTTAGTTCCTTGAAAAATCCAACATTAACATAACATTACAATTCAATAGCCGAGATCTTAAAATTAAAACTTAAAAGTAAATAGTTCGCATTGTGAGAAAGAACAGTGTGTAGCTAACCTGATAGTTGCAAGTCAACAGAATAACCACAACTGTTAATAATGGGCAATAAATCTGAATTGTAAAATATCCGGATTAAATTCACATTGGAAATATATAGGTAGCCTAAGATTATTACTTCTCTAATCACGAAAATAATGCGACAACTTGCTATAGAAGCAGCAGTAGCGATGACGACGGTTGTGGGAGCAGGAGAAAGCAGTATATACGAAAGCTCAGAGGAAATACATGAACTTTAGTAGTGGTGGGACATACGCATGCGTTACGGAGAACTCACAACCGATTGGATCGTTCACCTCTCACACACACACACACACACACACACAAAATATCAGTTCAATCGTTGTATTCTTACCCATATTAGCGTGTAGCTCTGACCACAATACAAAATAAGAAACCAAATAAAATTCAACTATATACTTTACCTCCAAAAATTCGCTAAACGAGAGGATACCTGACGGGCGGCGGCGGCGGGGGGTGTTGAAGCATAAAAGATTAAAAAAAAAAAAAAACCTTTTTGTGGTGTTATTAAGATTTATTTTAGATCAAAGTAATTTTTTTTATCCCTTTCAACCTTGAAAATATATATAAAAAAATCTTGTTTTTCTGCCGTCTCCGAGGACCGTAAATTTGTACGGGAAATTTCAGCGTTTCTCTTTTTGCGATGAAAAACATTGATTCGGAAATTCTTACAAAAATCGATAGATAATTCAATTGTCAGATTTTTTTTTAAACTTTCAGGACTTATTCACAAATCAATGAAATTAGCTTTGTAATTTATTTAAAAAAATTTTTTTTATACATCTGTTACCCCTCCCCAACTCATTTAAATAAATTTATGAAATTTCGAAAAATTCTTTTTTGTAATGCTTAGGACAAGTCATCTAGTTACAGAAAATATCTGTTCTGACTCGATAAAGAACCTTCTTTTACGAACATTGTCTTTAGAAGGGAAATCTTTTTTTTAAATTTTATTGAAATTTTGTAAGGTTTCAGAACAAATTTTCAAGATTTTCTGATATGATATAGCAAATCTTTTTTGTGGTAAATTTCTACAAATTTTTTTTTAAATAAAATAACCTAGTATTAACGTAGTATACAATTCATTCATCAATATATTCTGAAAATTACATTTAAATCGGATATTTCCCTGATTTTTTTTTTTTAATTTTTGTAAATTATTGAGAACAGTAGGTAGCTTTTTTTTTCTTCTTTCATTTCAGAAGAAGAAAAAAAAAAAACAAACAAAAAACCCCAAAACATCCCTTTTGGTTTTGGATATAGGTACCTCCACTTGATCGCTGAAAAAACAGTCCCAAACTTAATAAAAATAAAATTTTATATTGTCAAACAAATGTTTGTTTTTCTCAAGAGGAAAGAACAAAATTTTTTTTATTAAATTTTATAATTTCTAGCACGTTCGAAATTTTCATTAAAAAGCTTTTTTTTCTTTTTTTTTTTTTTAGCACCTTAATGAAGAAAAAAGAGAAAAAAAAACACTGAATTGGAAATTCTTGCAAAAATCAAATAATTGTCGGATAATGAAATTTTCAGGACAACTAAATGAAATTATTTTTGAATTTTTCTTTTACCTTTTTTTTTTTTACATGTTACCCCCCACACCCATCCTTACTTAATTTCATGAAGGACTCCCAGTTAACGAAAATGTGCTCTGAATTGTAAAATAAAAAATGCTATAAAACTATGACATTAAAAACTTAATTGCTTTTATAAATAAGGACACTATTGTCCTAAGAAAAAAATTTTTTCATTGAATAATAAATTTTTACAAGAATCGTTTACATTTTTCTTTTTACATTAATTTAATTATAAATTATTTAAAATTCTGCATTGCTTCAACCCGGTTTTAGATGATATTCTTATTAAATGAAAACTATATTTACGAATCAAAAATTGAAAAATTT